CCGCTGAGATTGGTGCATTTCTTACTCCGTTGTTTATATGAGCTTTTGCCTCACGGTGCACAGTCTGGTATACAAGGAGATCTTCCTCTGACTGTTCAGCCGTCTCAAACCCATGTGATCTTCCTGGAATGCGTCACCGTTATGGAGGAGATCTTTTAAAAGAACTGCAAGGAAGAAAGGAATGATATACCTCTTGTAATTGTGCTTGAGAGCACTGAGCTACGTCGCCTTTTGAATAGATAATCTCATATTCTTCGGCTGCGTCTTGAACTGTAGTATGTCCTTCACTCCCTTGAACCTCTTTCAGCAGATCGACTTCTCCATGTGCCAACGCATTCCTTCTGAACATACACAGAGCAAGTGGAAGTGTACCAGCTCTTTCTTGGGTCTTCCCTCTCGTTCGTTGCTGTCGTACACCCTGTCCGAATTCTTTCGCAAAGCTCTGCAATGCCTTCCTTTGTCGCTCCTTTCCCTCCGCCCTCGTTTCGTCGTCCATATCCTCCTTAAGGTTTACTCTTGCCGTTCGACTTTCGAAGCCATTCCGGTGCCTTTGGACCCAGCTTTCTCTGTGTGTAATGGCTTTGAGGACCGGTATAAAAGATAAACGAGGATTGGTATAGCCTCTCTATTGATTCTAAAAGGCAGCTGGGCTGCCGCGATGCGTAGTCGTTCAGAGCGGGTGTTCTCACTCCAATAAAAAATTCAGGCCCCAAATCTAAGGCGGTGATACCTTTGCGGGCCAACCATTACATAAGCCGAAGCCGAATAGCCCAAAGGGCCGAAAAATTCTTGTAGATCAATATTGTCACTTAAGTCTGTAAATTTTGCGCAAAACAAAAATAGCCACCGCAGGAATGAGGTCTGAAAAAATCTTGCATGAAAAAAAAAAACCCATCCCCGGCTCAAAAATCAAATAGTGGGCCCCTTACTGGTGGCCCTTCATGCTTAGTGTTATAATATATTAAATTCCTGCAGACTCTGCTACTTGTACTTAGTATGCAACATTCCTTTCACCTATTCAACCGTTTATTTTATAAAAAAAAACTAAAGAAAATGAACCATAAAGGCTTTGTTACTTTTATTTCACCGAGGTAAGTCATGGTGTTCCACTTATTTTCACTAATTCTACACTGTAATTTTTAGATTATTTGTCATACAAGCATTTATCAGTTATACAGTAATAGAATGTGTCCTTTACTTTCCGGGCTCAATACTAGTACTGGTAGGTGAACCGATCTCGGTTTCTCATCAGAGTCCGAGATAACCCTATAACTCCATGCAATTAGAGCAGATTTATTAAATTGCGAGAAAGCATTTATTTTGCAACAAAGCGCGCAAATTCATTGTACTTGTATTCTACTTTTGACGTCCATTCTAATTATTTAAGTACTTTTAAGGGATAAGTTACTGGTCAAAACATACGAACCTCGATTTATAGTCGCCTTGTGACTTGCTTGAGGCGATGAGGCAATCGGGACCTATACAGTAAATTCCGCTTTCAATGAACCGGTATGTCTATTGTCCTGTATGGTTATGTTTGATCGGCCGAAAAACTCTATGCTTGGACCCTTGCCAGGAGTAAATCAGTCAAGGAAGTACTTACGTACCTCTCTCTGTCACAGGATTTCTTTTTGTCCTTTTTCTTCTTCCCCATTTCTCGTAAAAAAAGATATATATAAATCACTTTCTCTGCCTTCTGGCGACAGCGCGTTGAGGAGTTGCGTTACAAAGCGAGAAAAGTGACTTGAGATTCATATTACAGTGCCCTCAACAATTAATAAATTAAGAATATGATACCATGTTTTCGTCAAACAACCAGGACTTTGTATGACAGGAACTGCTGCCAGCCGTAAGCAAGAATAGGTAATGTACCTCGGCCAGGAAATTCTATGGACAGAAACCTTATTATGCGGAAAAATATTGTGATAAGAGATTTTTAGACTGTGTAATAAATCTGATCCCTGATTCGGGCTTAAAAGCCTTGTGATCCTTGATCCCATTCTTCTGAGCCCTGAGCCTTTTCCTCTGAGCCCTGATCCCAGTCATATTTTGGGCTTTGAGCCCTGAGCCCATATACCATGTTACGACCCTGATGCTTGGAAAGCAACATTATTTAAAATTTGTTTGCTTTTGTTTTTCTTGTCAAGCAGGAGATATAATGCATAAAGCTGGTTACCAAAATTAATGGTCTGGCGTCCGAAATTTTCCCGTTATTAGTCAGCAGTTGGCCCTTTAAAGAAAAACTTAATTTCAAACCCTGGGTAACCAGTACCATAATGTCAAGCAATTTTTTGCAGTTCACCCAGATTTGGCATTTCTGTAACGGTCTGAATCCAAATAAGGCACAAATGAGTTTCGTGTGAGGCTGGAACCGACAAATGGGGGAAAAAGCGAGAGACAGAGAAAGCATTGTCCTCAATTTTCAGTTGGGATTTCCGAAAAATGACCTTACCATTAGCCTACCATCTGGAATTTTCAGTTTTTTTTGCTAAATGGTACGCGACCCTGAGTGGCCTATCTGTTTCTATGTTCTTTGTGCAACTTCAGCCTTCACACATTGTCGAAGCAACAAGAAAGCTTTTGTATGATAACAACAACAACAACCAGTTGAGCGCTTGTCTGCAGTGTTGATTCCGGTTGTTCTTTTTTTTTTTTCTTGAGCTGTTTTTAGTCACTCTATTGCATGGAAAAGTTTTTTTCTTCCTTTAAAGAAAGGGGAAATTTTTAAAGAAAATCAACAACTGAAAGGGACCATGGAAAACAGCCCTAAGTGACTCATTTCTAACGATTAGATTCTCATTCTAAATTGTTTTTTTAACTGCTTGTGACACAAAGAGAAAATTTGACTTAACATCAAGAGTCACAGTACTGCATTTTTTCCACGTAAGTACTGAAGCGTTTTTATAACTCTGGCCGAATTTATCTGTTTCACACCAGCTGCATCAGTGGATTATTTAAGTTATTCCCCAACAATCAAACTGATGACAACACGGGCTTAGCTAGGACAGCTGTTCCTTGTGGCAAATTGAAGCTGGTTTAGTGGTGAATAGTTAATAATTCATCTGAGCCATGAACTGCCCTTTTAGCATTTGAAGGCAGCTTTTGTAACATTGCACAAAAATATAGCAAAAGATCACTCACCACCTTCGTTCTGCCCAAGTCAGAAGCTTGCAACTCAAGCTTTTGAGATTTGCAAGGAATAGTATCTTGCCTATCTCTTTCAGTTTATAGTAAGGGCTTGGTTGACATTAGCACTTTGGTGGCCTTAAGGGTTTTTGCACACGTGAAAGTGATAAACTAGTACTTGCCGTATATGGCGAAAAAAGGTTTCTGAAATCTGCCATCATATCAATTACTCTCGCATCCCGATCTGAAAGAGGAGTAGGATTATGCGATCTCCCACTACTGCTTGAAGGTCTACTGGCCGTTGAAGACGAGGAATAATTTACATTTTCTCCCCTCCGCCTCCTCCATTTTCTTTTCTCGTCCTAGCACCTACCCTAAGGGTTACCACTTTTACTCTCCGTTATCTTCCTCCGTCATAAAATCAAAGATTGCGGTTACAACAATACCAACTTAAACAAGAAGCTTTCGCCCGCCCAAAATACACCTGCACTGCAGGCTACTAGGAGACCGGATACTGTGGTTGTGGGAAGGAAAATAGAGTCTGTCAGGAGCCTATGATGATGATGATGGGCTCCTGAGTCGGCAAAATAATCGATGTCGCCGCACCAGCTGACCGCAGTGTTAACTATAGGAAAGTAAATTAACTCAAAGAACAGTCAAAAAATAAAAATAAAAATAAAAATAAAAAAATCACGATCTCAAGCTTAAGATTTGATTCTATATCCTTTTGACGGACGGGCTACTTACGGTGGATTACGGAATAACCATTAGGTGGAAATGTTACGCGAAGGGGAAAAACAACCAAGCAAGGAAGTGTCTCCCCCCAACTTTTGTAAAAAGACACCATTTCATTACACTCAACAGCTTTGACCCACTTCCCAAACTGTAAGAAACTAGGTCTCTCAAATGAAAATGATTTAGTTTCCTGAAAACAAATAATTTTAGAACAGATGCAGCTGATCTGACCTTAAAAACAGATTTTCGGAAGCTCGCATTAGCCTGTTTTTAATCATATTATGAACTTGAAACCAGCTGAAAATCCTTTAACTTTGTTGATCTTAATTTGTTGATTTAATTTCTTTCTTGCTTCCATTTTGTCCTCTTTTGGCTTCTAACCCGATCTCTTACTGTTGGCCTTTCCTCGGAGACACGCATTACTTGTAAATTTGTATCAGAAAACACAGCAAGGAAGTTTAAAAAATAGCAGAAGAAAGCTGGCACGATACCCAATCTTTTAATCCTGGTATCGTATATCCGCTGAAACAGTTTCTAACAAACCCTGCTTTGTCTCAGTCAAACCGCCACTCCCTATCCTGTCGCAGTCAGTGGAAAATGACTGCTCAGAAACAGACATTGCCGTCCTTTGCCTTGTGGGTCCCTGTGTGCACACAGTTTTCGTTCTGGGGCAGCCCACTGCTTTGCTAAGCTCATTTCTCAAAACTGCTTCTGACTGGGCGAGATGGAGTAACTACAGTATGCACACAGTCACATTTCGGGTAGTCAAGGTGTGAACACAACAACGCTTTTGTACCAATGACCAGGCACTGGTTTCCGAGCCCCAAGTGTGAAGAGTGTAGCCCAGAATGATGGCAAAACGTTTTATTGGCCGGCTTATCGTCAAGCTTCGTAAGAAAACCAGGTGTTATATCTTGGTTCTAACAGACAATTATACTTAAAAAAAACAATAATTGCTTAGTGTAACGGAAAGGGGAAGTAATATGCAGAAAATTAGGGAAAAAACATCTAAATCACTTGCCTTAGAACTAAGAAATGTTAGAACTAAGAAATCTTGGTATTGTTCAGTAAATTGTTTGGTGCTTGACTTTGTTTTGGTGACCAAATGTGACAGATTTGTCTTGCATTTTTTAGACCTTTATTCCACTAAGCAACGGAAGAAAAGACACAGTGCTGAAAATATCAAGAACAAGACGGAGAATAAAATTCTTAAAATTTTGTTGGAGTTGAAACAGCATCAGTCACTATCACAAAGTGGCACGTGTCTCCCATGCCCTCCCGGTCCACCAGGTCCTAGCGGAGAGAAAGAATCCCGAGGCAAAAGAGGTCAGAAAGGAGATCAAGGTATTATGGGATTGCCTGGAGAGAGCGGTAAGCAAGGTATCATTGGACCAGCAGGTCGGAAGGGAGATGTTGGTGTCAAGGGACAAAAAGGAGACATAGGACCTGCAGGCATGCCGGGAGCTAAAGGAGAACCTGGTGAATCGATTTCAGCTCCTGTTGTTGCCGTGTCCCCTAAAACGCTGACAGTTAACGAAGGTGGATCAGCTTCGTTTCAGTGTTCAGCAAGTGCTAATCCTAAAGCTGCAATAAAATGGAGTAAACTAAACAGTCAGTCACAAATAAGTCCTTCAACGGTATCAGGAGGAAAGCTGGTATTAAAAAATGTGGCTGTAAATGACGCAGGAAAATATAACTGTTCGGCGGTCAACATTTTAGGAAAGGTGCATGCTCTGGTACAACTTGTGGTGAATGGTAAGTTTGCTGTAACTCGGGTGATTCGGAATGCTAAGTCATCTTGGGCATTTATAAATTATTCAAATATTATGCAAATGCATTCATAAATAGTTGAACCTCAGACACTTTTAAGTGCTGAAAAATTAATCTACAGCAGAACCCTGGTAACTTGAACTCTGAAGGGAAAAGGAAAAAAACTTTTCGAGTTAGCAGGAAATTTGAGTTATAGGAGTAAATATCAGTGAAATTGTGATCAAAGGAAAAGAAATTTATTTCGGTTCAGCGGGGAAGTCGAGTTATCTGAGTTCGAGTTATCGAGGTTCTACCGTATTTGTTATTTGAAAGAACGATTTCATTGTTGATATTGACCACCAGTTAGGTGGCACTGCAATAAGGTAAATTGGCATCAGAGAAAAATGGGGCTGATATTTCCTCTTTCATAACCAGCCAAACAGCATTTTTTCACTTTTATTGTTAAAGAAGGAAAATTTTGTCTTGTCTTGGGACGAGTATCGGTTTATGGTGAATATAGCTTCCATGGGCAGGCTTTTTTTGAGACCTTTCCATAGGAAAAAAAATCTGAATAAAGGGCAAACTGAGAAACATGGCCCCACCATAATAACGCTCAATGACAAAATTAATTTTTATTATCTCTTTTCATGGGATGCTGATTGTTGTTTTCAAATTTCACCAAAGCATTTTTCCTTGCAGTTCATCCGCGCATTTCTCTCCATCCGGGACCTCATTACGCCATCAAAGGAAACAGTTACGCCCTTCCTATTTGTCACGTGACTGGGTACCCGACAACAGTGATCTCTTGGAGAAAGTCATCGGGTCAGTTACCCCAGGGAAGGTTGAAGTACAATAACAGTGCATTGCAAATTCTACATGTTCGGAAAGAGGACTCTGACTTTTACTTCTGTTCAGCATCAAACCTGTTAGGAAGCGTTGAAAAGAAAACTCTCTTAGTTGTTGCCTCGCTTCCTCGTTTTATTGTTAAGCCACCTGCAAAAGTTGTTGCGTTGTTAAGAGGAACTTTGAGGATAAACTGTAGAGCTTCGGGGGATCCAAAACCAGTCATCACATGGAAGAAACAAGGAGAACAACTGCCAGTTAGGCGGAGCCAGCAGGTGAATGGCTCGCTAGTGATTAGAGACATAACAATGAACGATAAAGGAAATTACATCTGTGTCGCAACAAGTGCAGGGGTGTTAAAGGCGGAAGCTGTAACTTATACTGAGGTTCAGAAAGGTATTTAAACTTGGATGAACTTTAAAATTGAGTACAAACTATTATAATATATTCAAAAAGAAGAAACCAAACCATATAAAGACCATTTAATTACCCCAAGTTTGTGTTAAAATCCTAGAAACACAGTAGATATACTAAAAATCGTCAAACAACAACAAAAATGACATAAATAGAAAATTATATCAGGAGGAAGGTGAGAGATTTTAGAATAAAGGAAAAAATCTAATCGAAGCGGCAATAATTCGTTTTACTACCTGCCACAGAAAGGATTAAGAATAAATAAAAAGGAATGATAATGTTCAGGATCCCATGACTATAGGCTCCTGTAGTATATAATATTATAAGGGACTCGTTGTTTTTTTTAAAAGGGATAACAAAAAACCGGACACGTAAGAATGCGAATAAAAGACGTCGGGTCCTGGGTAAAATTTGAAAATAGAAAAAATTGAAATAACCAAGAAAGAGTTTAATGAACATATGATATTGTTTTTTTTTTAAATGGTCGGTTCACAGCGTTACCATGGTGCGCCCGATTATATCTACCTACATTCTACGAGATAGAAATTTGATTGAGAACTTTTTATGTATAGTGCTTGATTGCTAAAAAGTTAAAAACACTTTTACGTTTCTTCAGATGCTCTCAGCTCATCCACCATTCTTGACAGCCTTAGCAGCAAGTACTCTGACCAGTTGAATTCCTATTTAGACCCAGTCCTTCGGAGTCCAGGTCGCAGCAGGTTTGTGAGGTGTTGGCACGCTAAGACAGATGGTTGAACGGCATCAACATTCCACAGTAACTGTGATGGAAAGGGTCCCACTGTAACCATCATCCAAGTCGGTAGTTACATATTTGGTGGATACACTGACAAGTCTTGGGGTGGTGAGTATCTGATTACATAACAGACTTAATCGCACTCAGATTAAATTGGCATAGGATGCATACTTTCTTTTGTATACCTTTGGTGAATACATTGAAAATTTCAGAAATTTTTCAGTATCGTCTTTTTCATTAATTAATTAATTGATTGATTAAACACTAACTTGATCGTCCAGATAATTTATTATAGGTGTATCGTAAAAAATATTTTGTATCTATCTAAAGCTTAGATTCCCTTGTTGAAACCCAGTTCAAAATCTGCCATGAATACAACACATTTTTTACTAAATTACCTATAACGTTCCCCTTAGCGAGAAATCTTCTTCATCTTTATAGTTAATTTTCAAAGCAACGGAGAGAAGTCTCTAGAAGTGGGGGATTTTTTTGCGGTTTCGTGTTGATGCCAAATATAAAAGCATCATGATTGGCCAAAACAACAACAACAAAAATTGTTATGTAACCCGTTTAAATTTCGTGGGGTTTTTCTATGCCTTTTTTTACTCATCATCAGTACCCCATTGGGAGTATTCCCCATTGCAAATTTTTCTTGGAAAAGACCGGTCGCACAGTCTTCCGACACCAAATGTCTCGTGGGAAAACGTTTATTTATCGCGGTAAAAGTGTACTATGTAACCGTACCTGTTGCCAGTCCTGTTGGATATATATCTTAAAAAGGCAATTATGGTACCTGGTAAGAGACATCAGATGAAAACAGGTTTTTGTTCCNTAACTGTGATGGAAAGGGTCCCACTGTAACCATCATCCAAGTCGGTAGTTACATATTTGGTGGATACACTGACAAGTCTTGGGGTGGTGAGTATCTGATTACATAACAGACTTAATCGCACTCAGATTAAATTGGCATAGGATGCATACTTTCTTTTGTATACCTTTGGTGAATACATTGAAAATTTCAGAAATTTTTCAGTATCGTCTTTTTCATTAATTAATTAATTGATTGATTAAACACTAACTTGATCGTCCAGATAATTTATTATAGGTGTATCGTAAAAAATATTTTGTATCTATCTAAAGCTTAGATTCCCTTGTTGAAACCCAGTTCAAAATCTGCCATGAATACAACACATTTTTTACTAAATTACCTATAACGTTCCCCTTAGCGAGAAATCTTCTTCATCTTTATAGTTAATTTTCAAAGCAACGGAGAGAAGTCTCTAGAAGTGGGGGATTTTTTTGCGGTTTCGTGTTGATGCCAAATATAAAAGCATCATGATTGGCCAAAACAACAACAACAAAAATTGTTATGTAACCCGTTTAAATTTCGTGGGGTTTTTCTATGCCTTTTTTTACTCATCATCAGTACCCCATTGGGAGTATTCCCCATTGCAAATTTTTCTTGGAAAAGACCGGTCGCACAGTCTTCCGACACCAAATGTCTCGTGGGAAAACGTTTATTTATCGCGGTAAAAGTGTACTATGTAACCGTACCTGTTGCCAGTCCTGTTGGATATATATCTTAAAAAGGCAATTATGGTACCTGGTAAGAGACATCAGATGAAAACAGGTTTTTGTTCCAACCACTGCTACTTTTATATCTGGCTGTTCTACTTAATAACTTTTCATTTGACTTCTTTTTATTTATTAGTCTTGGTCCAATCCTAGTAAGTATCAGATTTTGTCGCACACAGTATATGTTATAGGGAATGTACATTTCATTGCATATGGTGTACAGCTCTACACTACAGAGTATCTGTGACGGAAATGGTCCCACTGAAACTACTGTTTTTGAAACATTGTTAGTTACGGCTCTGTCCATACATGTAGGTGTGTGGATATATCGAAAACGGAGCCATTCTGTCCGTTTTCAAAAAAATTCGCATCCAGACATAGTGTATACAAATCATCTCGCCCGTCAAAACGAAAACGCCAAAACGATGGTAGTATAGAATCCCTTACAGGGCATGCGCTGTATGACGTATGACATCATCGTATTAAAAGAAACCTCTGTTTTCGTCAGTCCACACGAAAACAGTAAGCCAGCGTTTTTTTGTTTTATTTTTTTAAATTCCACTTGGGACCGTTTACGAAAACCTGCTTTTTCGGTGCCAGAAAATGCTGTTTCAGTGTGCTAAAACGGCTAAAAAGGGAGAAAAATCTCCGTTTTCAAAAACATGCAGGTAGATGTGGATAGGACCTAAGAGCAAGTCAGGAAATATTAAGTGTGGTTACACATAACAACATGGTGAATTTTTAGCGTGGTATAACTAAAGGTTAAATTTGTTGTTTCCATTTGTTGTTTTCAGGTTCAGATAATTTAGCAAAAGATGGCTTTCTTGCCTTGGGTAGCAAAGACCCTTGCTAAGATAATACACGCTAAAATGTTACGGGCTCTTTCCTTGTTCTTTTTGACGTATCCATGGATAAGCCTCATCTAGTATTTATATTGGGAAAGACCGATCACTTGCACCGCACCAATTTCCCGTGGTAAAAGGTTTATTCATTATTTGTTAAATTAAAATTAGTTCATCTGTTTAGAATGGTACAAGACACAACATTTAAATAAAGAAAAGGGCACAAATATACAGGGAGCGGCGAATGATAAAGTGACCCGAAAACAAAAGACTTAAACAGTTGTTAATTTTTTGTTTTAAACTCTTTGCCATGCTTTGCTGTCAGCCAATTCTTAGCGAAAAACTGTATTTTAAGCAAATCTTCGTTTTTGAACAGTTTTCGGCCAGTTAGCAGTGAGCTAGCATAGAAATGGCTAAAAAAAGAGATTTCCACCACCAATAAGAACACAGTTTTCTACTAATTGGATGTAATTAAGCAGCTTTTTTGTTTTTCGGGCATTGCGGATCTACTTCGATCTTTTTTCTCGCTCTCTTCTTTTTCCCTTTGCCTTTCTTTTTATAGCCAGTTTTGTTGCCCACCCTATCGTGTTTCTTTCACAAATTTAATCTGCAATGAGTAGTAGGTAAATAGCAAAATTGGCAGTGGAATTTTTCGCCAAATATTGCTTGTTTCTTGTCTGTAACTCTCTCAGGATTGGTCAAAATTTGCTAATGAGGCACCAGTGGAAAGATCTATCCTGGCTTATTTTGCTAATTACCATCTTAGTAGCTTAAATAGGGACTTTACGAAACCACGACGACGACGGCAACGGGAACGTCAAAAAACAATAGGTTTAATGAGCAGAACAACAACTCTGCACGTACATCATGCTTTTTTGTACGTTTCTTTGCCTTCAATGCACAACTACGACGTGAAATGACCAAATTTTAAGTTTACTTGGGAACGGGAACGGCAAGGCGATAAATTCTACCATCTATGTTCGAACTTGAGCGCGTTTCCCTCTCTTCAGCTCCAGCCAAAATTCCCTTCTTTTAAGTAACAGGGCGAATTGAGATAATCGCGAAAAAGTTTAAAATGATGCGAAGTCTGTTTTTCAGCGACGTTTTCCTGGACGTAGCCGTTGTCGGATCGTAAGGTCCCTAATGGAAGGATAGTACGTATGGGTCCTTATGGACCAAAAACGACCAAAGCGGATGTCAAAGAGTTAAGCAGTTTTATGTGACACTGACTTCGTATTCAGAAATGAATTTACATGACTGCTGTCAAAACAAGTGAGCAGAAAAAAGAAAACTTGCAACAACATAAAATATTTCCCGTATCTTGAATTGGCAACTAGCCCAAGAGGAGGCCAGTTTGACTTCAGTTAGTCTTATTGTTGATATTGGTGATAAAAAACAAACTCGAACTAAGAATCTATTTGTAGCTCGTGTTCCTGGCATTGTGATTATTTTTGCTCCTTAGTCGGTGAAGCCTTTGACCAATACAGTTTATGAACGTATCCGTAATCTACATTTTACATGTGTTTTCCACAGGTTCTTGTCGCTATGTCTCATCCAGCAAATCGTTCCTGTTCTCGTTATATAACATCAATGGCTACGCTCCTGTTAAGGTGAACATCAAGTCAAGTAGTTATAGCGGCGCTATTTACACATGTTCTGATAGGGGACCAACCTTTGGTGGAGGACACGACCTGTACATACCCAACAACGCTGGAAGCAACCGCAATTCCCTCACATACTGTGGCCACTCCTACCCCCTCCCCCCTGGGTACTCTGCATCTTACTCTTCCTGTCAATTTTATGCAGGATCCTACAAATT